CCTGTACTGGGCACTGGTGAGGCCACACCTCAAATCCTCTGTTCAGTTCTGGACCCTGTGTTCAGTTTTGAAGAAACTTTCTTCACAAGAAGAAAGTCATTGAGGTGCTCGAGTGTGTCCAGGGGACAGTGGAGCTGGGGAAGGGTCTGATGAGGAGCAGCTGAGGGAGCTGGGGGTGTTTAGCTTGGAGAAAATGAGGCTCATTGCTCTCTACAACTACATGAAAGGAGGTTGTAGCCAGGTCAGGGTTGACCTCCTAATTACAGAGGAAATGGCCTCAAGTTGTGCCAGGGGAGATTTAGATTGGCTATTAGGAAAAATTCCTTTACTGAAAGGGTGGTCAAGCATGGGACAGGCTGCCCAGGGCAGTGGTTGAGTCACTATCCCTGGAGCTTTTTAAAAGACATGTAGATGTGGCACTTGGGGACATGGTTTAGTGGAAGATTGGCAGTGCTGGGTTAACAGTGAGCTCAGAGGTCTTTTCCAACCTAAAGGATTCTACAATTCCATGATTCTGTCTGCTGGATTCAGCTAGGTCTGTGTTAGCAGCATTGGTTTGATCAAAAAGTTTCCTCTTGGTCAGCTCTTGTGGCCCAAGGCTTCAGCTCCTTTAGCTCCTGAGCTGCTAAGGCTAAACTAGATGACTCTGAGAGAAGAATACTGTTAAGCCAGTTTCTTCTAGAATACTGAGAAAGTGAATGTGTGAAGTGAAAACATGAGTATTGTTTGCATGTCACCCCCTGTCTGCCCCTCCATGCCTTTCAGGGGTTTGAAACAGGAAAGAGCTTTCCTAAAGAGAGAATTGAAGCAGCGAGTTACCTGTCCCAGGTCTTTCCAGTCTCTGTGCTTGACTGGTTTTGTCCCTCTTTCTGTGCTCTCTGTTCCCACTGTGCTCAGGGGCTGCTGCCCAAGATTGTGTAACTGGCACAGATAAAGATGAGACCCTCATTTCTCTGCCCTTCGAGCTGCCTGTTCACAGCAGCCTTTTCATCTGTAAGCTTGGTCTGGAGAGGGAGTCATCACCTCTGGTGTGTACTCCGGGAGCCCAGGGCCTGCCATCTGAATTCCATGCTGGCATTGAGGGCTGCCAGGTGGCTCAGGCTGGTGTGATGCTATTGTAAATGTGAAGGAATAGTGGCAAGTGATTGTTTTGAAAGTCAGGTCAATTTGCTGCTGCATGCTGTGTGTGTTGTTTGTCCAGCCCTGCCCTAGACTTAGCGATCAAATCCAGGCACTGCTGCTGCTCCCTCTGGAGTCAGCAAGAATTTGGTTGGTTTCAGTGACAGCAGAACTGGTCATTTAAGAAGCGGGTGCTGACAGTGCCCTGAGTTCCAGGGCCAGAGGGGTCGCTTGGGTGGGAGGGAGGTGCCCCTTGTTCTTATTCTTCACCATGCAAAGCTGGTCAGATGCCGGTTAGATGTGGATCAACACAGCAAACAGGGAGCCTGCAAGTCTCTTCTATCCGTGTCTGCTGAGATTTTTGACCTTTGGGCTTAAGGTGTACAAAGTCAACTGCTCTTGGTCACTGTGTGTATCTCCATGTTCAGCAATGCTGCTAAATCAGTCTGTAGCACAGCAACAGGGGAAAAGCCTCAGCCCTTCAGGTGCGAGTGTCTGCCTTAGCAGGTAAGCCAGCAGAAGGGGAGCTTCTCCAGATGGGAACTTGTAGCAAAGGACTGCACAGACCGTAGCACCCCCTCCTTGGGCAGAGCCCAAATTCAGTGGGGGAATAACGGAGTGGTTCTGGTGCACTGGTGTGTCGGCACTGCAGGTGCTGTGCCTGCAGACAGATGGTTTGAGCAGATCTGCAGAAGAATTCTGCAACTCTTGACTGGATCAGGATGTCACCAGTGCTAAACTCCAGTTTAGTCCAAAGCAACCAGGTTACACTTATGCTGGTGTCTGCTAGATTTTTTTTCTTCAGGGTATCCAGACAAAAGTAAACAGAGGAGGAGCCTACATTTTCATTGTCTATCAGAAATGTATCTCATTTTGCTGTACATTCCTTTTTTAGGACGTGTTATCTGTTTAAAAAAAAAGAAAAAGAAAAACTAAAAGAAAAAACAGAAAAAAGAAAAAGATGAAAGATAAAAACAAAAAACGTGTAGTGAAAAATCTTCTGTAACTTTGGATTAAGAGGTAACCAATCTTTTTAAAAAGAGAACTAAGTTATTTACTTTGTAAATGTGCTGATGGCATGGATCCATCTTACTGACCTCAGCATCCTTTTTTTAAAGATTTTGGGTTTTGTTTCCAATATTAAGTTATTTTAAATTGTGGTTGAAGCAATAGGAAATTGAAATATGGATTGTGCATGACTGTGTCTTGAGTGTAAAAATATTGCAGTTTGAAACTTGGACCTAAAGTATTGCAAATAAAAGTTATAAATACCAGTGGATTGTGTGACAGCAGCTTTGTCCTATGCCACTGTATGATGTCCTGAAAGAGGACTTAACCTGCCACCAGCCCATTTGACTCTCTGTCACTGGAGCTCCTTGTACCTTGTGTCCACAAAAGCAGACAGACGGCATTTCTGTTGCTCCCCAGGTTGGACAAATCCAGAGAGCTGTGATTTTTCCAGTCTTGTCTTTCCATTGTTCCATATCGATAAAGAACCAGCACCCCCTCCTGATGAATATGGTGAGTTACACAGATGGTCATCAGCTACAGTTCCTGCCTAGAAATCTTTAAACTGCTTCTAAATGCTGCTCAGTTTAGCTCTTGTACAGCTACTCACACAGAGCTGGGAAAAAGTCACTTGGCCACCAGCTCAGAAGGTAAGTGATGCCAGAGTTAGAGGTGTGTGGGCAATCTCTATCCATCCATATATTTTTAGTATATCTATATATGGGCATGCATGTATGCATTTTTTACATATAAAGGAAGGAGTGTGTAAGCAACTTGAAGAACACTTTCCCTGTCCATGTTTGTTATATATACACAAAGACACAGAAGAGACCCTTGTATAAACAGACCCTGATATAACTGTTAAGTGGAGCATGGGGGTGGGTAAGATTGAGGGAATTCACAGAGCTCATCATGCTGGAGGGAGGAGGCGAAGGGAATGGGAATACTGCAGTGAGGACAGCTGAGGACCAGAGAGAGGGCCTGAATCGCACCGTAAAATCTCACAGGACCCCTGAGACAGTGCTGTTGTGCAGGCAGGGACAGGACGAGCCCCCAGACCCATGGCTTTGTCTTCCTCAGTGCAAGGGGCAGCAGGGAAGGCTATGGTGTGATGGAGACCATGATGAGCTGGGAACTCACTGGGCGAAAAAAGAGGGAGCAGTTGTGAAGTAATAGATAGGGAAGAGAACTGTTCAGAGAACAGCTGAGACGCAGCTTGACCAAGCTGAAAACTGTCATTTGGGGTCACCCCAGATCGATTTGATTTCAGAAACTATTGAACACATGTGCCACCTCCTCCAGCCAACCATGGGAGGACAACAACAATCTCCTCAGTAGCTGCAAGAGCAGGATGCTGATGTACCCACTGCCATCTCCCAAAACGTATCCCACTCATGCCGAGAAGATAGGGAAGATGGGTATCTACCTCACACACTCCATCACTAACAAGGGACTGCTGGGGAGCTCGAACCTCTCCAGGAGCTGGATGACGCCATGAAACCCACTGGACATGTTGTATGCACGATCTCCAGGGGAGCTCGGGTGCCGCTGGGCTGCGAGGGGACCGCGATGTCGTCAGAGGCGGTGATGCCGTGCCAGGGATCTGTCTGGTACCCCTCACCCAGCTCGGGATGCCCCGCGCCCCCACTGACCCCACGCCCGCTCTCCCTCGGGGTGTGCTGGCGGCTTCCACCCTCCCGGGCCTCGGCTCATCCCGGCCCGTCACGCCCCGGTTTCTCTCGCTGGCCCCGGTCACTGACGAGCTCGCCCCACTGCCACGTGCGACACCGGGACACGCATTTGATGGTCACCTGCGAGCCAAGGGGAGCGGCAGACTGAGCCCCTCCTCCTGCTCCTGCTCCTGCTCCGGCCCCGCCACTCACCGGGGCTCCATCCGTGGGGCGGGTCCCTGCCGGCGAACCCACCCGGCACCGCTCCTGAAAGGGCTCTTTCGCCCTCCCAGCCGGCCACACGCGGCCGGCAGCGTTCGGGCCGGGACCCGGCACGGTCCCCACGGCCCCACAACCGCCCCGGGCCGAGGTTCCTCCCCCGGAGCGGGCACGGCGGCTCGGGCTGGGGCACCCGCAGAGTGTGGGCCTCACCGGCCCCGGGAGGCGGCGGGGCCGGAGCTGGGAGTGGGGCCGGGACCGGGACAGGGACAGGGGTCGGGGCAGGCGGAGCCGAGGGCGGCTGTCCCAGCCCAGCCGGAGCGGCCCGCCCAGCAGCGCCACAGCCCGTCCAGGGCGGGGACGGAGCGGGCCGGGGGCAAGGCCCGGGCCGGCAGGTGTAGAGGGAGACCGGGAACGGGAGAGGGAAACCGGGAGAGGGTGTGGGACACTGGGAGAGGGAGAGGAGGAAGAAGAGCAAGAGCGGGTCGGTAGAGTCGCAGCTGCCGCCGCCGAAGCGCCGGCGATGTTTGTCCGTCTGTCCGTTCCCGCCGGTGCAGGAACCAAAATATTTTTGATCCCGAGTCTGTCAAAGCATGTTAACTTTGCCATGGTAAGCCAAGATACTGAGTCTTGACTCCTGCACCGCGTCACAGGAATCACCTTTCTTGCTGCTGTGTACTGCCACAGCTGAGGGTAAAATGCCATTGGAGCACATTCCCTACCTGTGGAATTCATATCCAACCAAAGCACTGTACTCTGAAATCTTACATTTGCATTACGTTTTGGTTCTTGGGGATGGTTCTTATGTTGCCAGCATTAATTTCAAAGAAAAACAGGGGAAGGCAAACTGTATGCAGCTAATGGTACTTCTAAGTGTACAAAACTTGCTAAGTCATAGCTCTTAGAGGTAAGATCAATTTGGAATTAATGGGATATAGAACTAGTGCAACACAGAAAAGTGAAGAATATAAATAAATGAATTCATATATGTTAACACCTTGGATTGTTTCTTAGCATTTTTTGTTTCACTTCTTGAAAGCTGTTTCAGTTTTCCAGGAATCTTCTCCAGAGTCATGTTTCCTCTTTTCAAGGACCTGTCTTGGAGAACTAGGTCGAGCTTCTGTCACAATATATGCCACCAATTGCAGCTTAGAATGACTTGGTTATCTTTGTCTGTAAGAAGGGTAAATTTTCTAATAATTTCTAATACATCCCCCTCACTTTTGACCTTTGTAACAAGGCCATTTGCATCACAGATTGATCCTGAAGTGAGGACCCTGAGCTTATGTAACTGCATGAAAGGTGACCTGTTGCTCTGCAGTGACACTCGAGTTGCAACAGGAGCGGGGCACCTGAGCACTGTCTTGGGAAGCATCACGGAAGGCAGAGTTTGTGGAGTGAAGGGAGAGAAGGAGGGGGAGAGTGATGTGTGTTGTGCAGAAGGAGCAGGAAGTTTGGGCCGCAGGACATTCCGCCTGCGCCGCTACCCCGCAATCGTTGGGCGTGTCCACAGGGTTCCGGACCTGGCAACGCGTACGCTGAGCTCCCTGACACCTGGAGAGCTCACCTGGGTGGTGTCAGGTTCCCGCTGCAACTCTGCAGCAGGCTGTGCTCCAACAGGGATCACCAGCAGCTGAAAAGACATCTGGACATCTACATTCACTGCTGCTAGGAAGAAGCAATGAAGCAAGTCGAGCAGTTGTGGTTTTTCTGTCTTCTGCTGGATTTTTTAATTTTATTTAACACTACAGAGGCAATGTCTGTGATGGCCTCTGTAGGTTTGTTCTATTTCGACAGCACCACCAACATAACTGTGTTTGAGCGCTGCGAATGTGGCCTGTATGGCTTCAATTCTCCTCGACTCAGCGCCCAGGGGCTTGTGGGCATTCCAACATCTGGGAATCATCAAGCCTGTGACAAAAATACTGAGTTCACCGTCACAAGCGAGCCGTGGATAGCACTGATCGAAAGAGGCAGTTGCAATTTTACTGAAAAAATTCAGGTGGCAACCAGAAAGGGCGCAACAGCAGCCGTGATCTACAATTCACAGGGCAAAGGCAACCACCCCCTCGTGATGTTTCATCCTGGTGAGTAAAAGGGTGTGAAGAGCTGAAATGTGGCCATTTCTTTCTCTGCAGTTGGGTTCAGGACAGCACAGCTGGGCTCTGAGGAAACAGAGATGTTTATGGGTGATGGTTGCTCTCCTCCAGAAATGCAATGGGGAAGACAATGTATTATGCAATTTGAGCCTTGACTTGAGTGCTTAGTAAGAAAGACCCTGCTGTTAAGTTCTGAGCATGGTGCAGTGTAGCCAAAGGGTTGAGTCTCTGAAGTTAGTACTGCTTTTCACTTGCAAATTATTTTAGAGAGTGATGTAGAGAAAGCCTTGGTGTCTGCTTTGAAGACACCAGTTTATTTTTCGAGGTTAGTGGGCACAAATGAACCTACAAGTGTCTGCAGCATAGGTATGTGCTTTGCAGTTTGCAAGCTAGATATCGCTTTTCTTTTTCCTTTCCTAAATTGTTCTTATTCGTTCTGAATAGTGCCTAAGTTCAGCCTGTCCTATGATTCCCCAATTCCCTGATGAAAGTTTAGACAAAATTATTATTACCCCCTATTCTGGCCCTAATATCTATGGTTCTGTCACGAGGGGAGGTCTGAGAACGTCATTGTGATACTGTATTGCTTGGCTTTTACTTCTGTGTGTACCTCCAGGTCAACCTGTCTATTAAGTGTTTTAGTACAAAGTACACATATACATAACCAATTCCTTGAACTGTACCTTGGTGGAGCTGCTCCAGGAATGCTTTGATTTGAGGCTTGTTTGCCTGATAGGAATTGCCCAACACAATAAAAAATGAGCTGTACGGCACTCAGAGTGCAATGGCTTGTTTTACTGCCACAACTCTGACTCTCCTGACGCCATGACAGACTCAGAGCTTGCAAATGGTGCTTAATTGTTTTATTGGAACTGTGTGGCAATGAAACCAAAGCTTTTGTTCTGCCTCTGGAGAAGGGGATTTTGACTCCAGTGGCTGGCATGTCAAGATTCGGATTAACTTGCTTTTTTCTGTTTGGTTTTGGAGTGTGCTAGCTCATACTAACACTGGATGAATAAAGAAAGAATTGTGCTGGGTTTATGTAGCTGCAAAACTGGTGCCAGCTGTGTTTCTTGAAAGCAGTGGTGGCCCCAGCTGGCCCAAGGCGATCGGAGCAGGGCGGCCCGTTCTGCTGGAGGTCAGCTGGGGAGAAGGGAATTGGGACCTGGCAATGGAACACTGTGTGACTGTGATGCCACCAACTCGACTGTTAGACTAGACTCCAGAGAGAAGATAAATATTTATGATGAGCTCTGAAAGCAGATACTGATTTTTAAAGTGGGGTTTTTTTCCTAGCACTAAAAAGTTATTTTAAATCTTGAAAGCAACAGATATATCACCTGAGAGTGTACTTCATGAGATGTGAAGTCCCATCTTTCTTAATTCATTTAGTTTTCTCAAAGACAAATTGTGATTTTTATAAGACTATTTCCCATAGTCGTGCTGCAGGGTTAAAGTAGATAGTATGATTTATTTGGTGGCAAAGTGGGTTTATAAATCAGGGGAGTAGTCACCTTTGTTACACACAGTGGGGACAAAGTACTTCAGTGTTATGAGTTCTTTAACTAATCACTATAGGAGAAGCATCTTGTCCCTGTATTTGTTTCTCAGTGCAAAGTGTGCAGCCATATGTCCTTTAGGTAAAACAGGGAAAGCCTGGGACAGAGGGGTCATTGCAGCACAGCACTAAGGGACAGAGTGCTTGGAGAATTTTATTTATTTTTTTTTTTCCAGCAGAGTTGTTCACAGGGGTGGGGAAGGAAATCTCCTGTTTGGCTGGAATCTGCAATGGTGGCATCTCCCGGAGAGGTCTGAGGAGATTTGGTGGTTAATCCTCTCTTCCATTTGGGTAGGGAACCTTTGCAGATGAGATGCCCTGTTGGCAGAGCAGTGAAAGAAAAATCTGCCCTACTGCTGACAATGATTTCAGGGCTCCTGAAAAAAGCAGGAGCAGCAGCCTCTGGGGTTAAAAGATGCTTCTTGCTTGGGGCCAGCCCTGATGTCTTCAGCCATCATGTGTATTCTCTGCTACTGTGCAGGCTACAGGGATCCCAGCACCTTGCCTGTGTGTTAGGCCTTGGTGGGAAGTTTCTCACCATCCTTGTCCCTTCTTGTTGATTTTACCATAAAATCAACAGAGTTTTCCAGCCAACCTTATTTTCTGTTACAACAGTACAATGTTACGTGTGTTTCACATCATAACACACCCAATTAGTCTTACAGGAATGAAATAGTTTGTTCTGGGCAAAGTCCAGCTGTGCAGGAAACAAGATAATTTAAAGTTGCGGAGTAGGAACAAGGAGAAAAAAATTCCCATCATGTTGACTCCTTCCTCATCCTCTACCACAAGTCCTTTTACCTGTTTATCAGTTTTCCTTGATACTGGGTATTAGTGTGTTGTTTTACACAAACACACCCCTGAGATAAAACTGATTTATTAGGAGCTTTTACTGTGGAAAATTTTAGCGGTCAAAATATTAGTAACTACTTTCCCATTCCTCTCTGATTACACAAATCACTGGCGGGAAAATGATCATCATCGTCATTGAATCATCATAAAATGGTTTGAATTGGAGGGGATCTTAAAGATTATCTAGTTCCAACCCCCCTGCCATGGGCAGGGACACCTTCCACTAGACCAAGTTGCTCAAAGCCCCGTCCAGCCTGGCCTTGAACAATACCAGGAATGGGGCAGCTTCTTCTGGGCAACCTGTGCCAGGCCCCCCCCCCACCATCGCAAGGAAGAATTTTTCCCCAATATCTTATCTAACCCTGCCCTCTGTCGGTGTGAAGCAATTCCACCTTGTCCTATCACCGCTCTAATCGGGAAGGTTTTCTGCAGGTGTTTGTGTCTTCTTTGCATGACATTAGGCTGATCCAACGGTGCAGAGACTCCGCTTGTGCTGGGAGAAACACGCCTCTTTGGAGCAGCTCCAGCCCTTGATTTTCTCCGGAAAAGAAATGGAATATGCGTCCATACTAACAGTTTTCCAGCACCGCTCCGTAAAAAGTAAACGGGAGCCCCAGGAGTGATGCAGGTTTTGGCACAGAGCCGAGTCTAAACGCGGTGTTTTGGGGTGTTTTTGGGGTGTTTTTGGGCTCCGTTCTGCCCGCGGGGCGCCGGGCGCGGCCGGCAGGGGGCGCTGTGCCCCCGGCGCCGTTCCCGTTCTCCCGCCGGGCCTCGGGAAACCGGGAGAGTGCGGGGGGTTGGAATGATGGCACCGAAACACTGTTCCTGCTGCCGTTTGGATGCCAGCCCAACAGAGCAGCTCAGCTAAATTTTCAGGTGTTTTCTGAAGGGTTTTCTCCGAGGCGTTTACTCAGAGCCAGTGAAAACCAACTCTCTCCTGGTTACAGCCGCTGTGACTCGGGAAAAGCAGGACCCTGGCAGAACTCCTGTACAGCAGGGACAAACTCTACCTCAGCTCGGCTGTCATATAGAAATTATTAGCAAACTTGACAATAACTGAAAGAAATGGCTGTGGATCTGCATTTCCTTCCCACCTGTTTCCAGGATATTCTGTAACCTCCAAGTCTAACTTTTGTTCTCCCAAAAGAATTTTGAGATAGGAACTTACTAGCTGTCGGTGCAATACCTATTTTAAACTTGTGGCCTAAATGCCTGACAAAGGAGTTTGAGTTTACCTTTTCTTCTGAAAGCTGGTATAAAATCTTGGTCAGGCTCCCCATCTTACCTCTCCAGAATATTGTTTACGTGATATTCAACGTAATTTATGGTTTACAGCACATTTTGCACCAACTCTTCTCTTTCCCATAGAAAGAGTCAGGCTCTTTGTCTGACCTCTGAAAAGTTTGTGGGACTTGAATGTGAAAACAAATGAACTTCCAAGAACATCCATATAAAAGCAGATGCCGTGAACTTCCCTTTTTGTTTATTCCTTGTGAAGTCAGTGGCCCTGCTAACAGTCATCCAGATGCCTCCACCAAGTCAATGTTCTCACAGTGTAAACTAAATTCTCCCACTTATTGCCCAAGAAAATCATCTACTTGGTTTGTGTCTCTGATGCAGTGGGAGGTGCAGACAGCACAGAGCCCTCCACCAGCGGGAGCCGCTGCAAGGAGAGGCTCTGAGAGCTGGGGTGGAGAAGGCTTGAGGGATTCTCAACCATGTGTACAAACTCCTGATGAGGCCAGGGAGGGTAAATACGATGGAGCTAGGCTCCTCTCAGTGGTGCCCAGTCAAAGCAACAGAGGACACAAGCAAGAAATTACATCAGAAAGAACTTTTTTCACTTCTTAGAAGATTCCCTGAGTTTCAGGCTGTGCTGGTGT